CTTTTAACAATTGGCTTAAAGTACATTTATACAATGTTAATCTAAAATTTTTTTACACTTATAACTAATTATATTGTTTAATAGTATTATGTCAATTATTTATTTAATAAATAAAAATAAAATAAAAAAATTTAAAAGATATGTCAGTACATAGATGATTAACTCTTATATTATTATTATTATTATTATATTCTATTCAAGAGTGATTAACTTTTTATAATAATAATAAAATATCATGGCTGATTCTAATGTTAAGTTTGAAGCAAGTGATTAAGTAGAGAATGAAAAAGAAAGAAAAATTATCAAATTAAAAAAACGTGTTTGGAGGGCTGGAATTAGATGAATTTGAAAGGATGTTGTGGTGGAATCTTTGTGAATTTAATTTTATTTTTTTATGGATAGATTTGTGTGAAATTTTTTATAAAAAAATGTGTAGACAAAATTGTTTTTACATTATTGTCTAAATGTATATTTGAAAATAGTTAATAAAGGATAATAATATAATTGTCAAAATAATTTTTTTTTCATAAAAATATAATTATATAAAATAAAATTTTAAAATATTAATTTTTTTTCTTCTATTTTTTACTTAATTTAACTTTATTAAATAATTATAAATTTCACACTATTTTCTACTTATTTTCTATCAAACCAATTCTTACTTGTTATCTTTCACTCTATTCAACTTTTCTTCCCCCAAATAAAACATAATAAAATGAATTTTTTGGAGTTGGGATCAAATCTTTTATACAGGATTTCTTTGAGAAGTATATAATATTCAATTAAATTGAAAAAAAAAATCTATATGCTAACAGTAATCTAATTAAATATAAGAAAAAATTATGATTGAAATAAGAGTTCTTTTTTCAATGACTTTTAAGGCTATTATTCAAGAAATTTTAAAAAATTATTATATATAGCATATTGTGATTAAATGAAAGTATAGTTCTTTTTATATACTATTAGTGCATAAACTAATTACTCTTAAAATAAACATGAAAATGCAACATAAAGATAAAGTCTACAATCTACTCCACATGCCGAGGTGGTCTAGTTCAATAGATTGAATAAAGTGTGAGTCCTAAATAATTGAGTATAAGTTTGATTTGATGAATAAAAAAATATAATCCTACAATATAAATTTGAATCCTTGTACTGAATGAAAGTGTTTTAAAAGTAATTTTTCTTATTTTTATCGTCGTTAATTTACTATAATTATTTTGTTTTACCTTTGTTTTCATTAATTGCTTCAATTTTTAATTTAAATTAAATTATTTGGTCACTAAACAAAGATTGATAAAAATTCAAAATCAAAAATTAAAAAATAATTATTCTTTTTTAAAAAATAATATTAAAAAATATTTTTAATACGAGTTTCTTCAATAAATTATATGTTTTGTGAAAAAGAAGGAAATACATCACAATAAACAAAACAATCATGACTATTTACTATTTTCAAAAGTAAAATATCGCAATACTTAGGAGGCGTATTAGTTCAGGATTTTATAGGATTTTAAAAGACTTTTTTGAGTAAAAAAGTTTATTGGTATTCGATCAGGATTTTATGTCACTTAAAAATAATTTAGTGGTATTCAATCTAGATTTTCAAGATTTTTTAAAAAGTCCATTAAAATCTATTGGTATTCATTAGAGACTTTTTACAACTTAAAAACAATCTATTGGTATTCAAAAATATAAGGATTTTAAAGGATTGTTGTATTAGAGGGATTTTGAAGGACTTTTTAGTGGTATCTATAAATACCAAATTCATAAAACAATCTCGTCCAAACCCATCAGATTTTGAAGGATTGTTTAAAGTGACTTTTTCAAGTGCTTCAAGAATTTTCAAGTGAGTTTTTCATCTTTTTTTTTTTCTATGCTCATGTCTTCTCCATTTTTTTCTCTTGCTAATAATACTATATATGTTATTGCTCATATTTTTTTTCTATTTAGTTGAGATTGTTCCTCAGTTATATAACACAAAAAACGCTTAAAATTTTAACTTTTAAGTAATAATTTTTTTATAACACGCGTCAAGAAAAAGGAAAGGTGAAAGTTAAAATTGATATCATAATCTCTATAATCAATTATAGATCTTCAAGACCTTGTGATCAATTTAGATTTATTAGAACAAAGTTCCTCTGCCAAATTGGAGTACAAAATCATCTCCAAAGATCTCGATCAGAGCAGGCATATGCCAAACGTGAATACCTCCAGAAGCAACAGGTAGAACACCTGGTAGAGAAACCCAATCCTGAGTAGAATGAGATAAGAATGGATATTAGTTGGGGAAGAACTCGCTCAGCACAAAAATTTCAATCTCTCTCCCTCTTGAATTTGTTACTGTTATCCTTCCCCTTTTATAACTCAATCATTATTTTATTTCTTTTTTAAGTATGAATTTTATTTTTTTAATTTTTATATTGTGAAATTAGGATTTTTTATATTTTAAAAAATAAAATTGACATAAAACATTGCAGTATCTTAAAATTCAATACTAAAAATATTTCTTCATGAGTGAATATGTGAATGAATATGTGAATGAATGCCATTTAGAAGGACATGATATTATGGAGAATTATTATTATTATTTATCCAGAAATTGTTGTTTTTTTTTATTTTTATCTTTGACTCTTTTTAAATTTGAATGTATGAAAAAAAATCTTGAACTCTTATCGTATGTCAAAAGTCTACGAAATTTTGCAAAGTTCACAAAGTCCCACAGAATTCATTAAAATCCTAACTTAAAAGTTTTGCATAATCTATTAAAATCTTGATTGAAAGTCTTGCGGAATCTTACAAAATTTTAAAAGTCATGAAAATTCTGTATAATTTTTTAAAATCTACAAGACTTTTTTTCAACTAAAAAAGTCTTTTAAAATCTTAATCCAATATACCTCTTAACGTGTGTTTGTGTGTCACTTTACATTTTATAAGTTGGAGCTTAGTTTTGAGCTAGATAGATGTGTCCATCCATCACACTCCAAAGTGAGTTATTACAGTTGTGTGAAATGCTATTTAAAGCAATGATATAGAGAGAACAACGGATTTCAAATAGAACAAAAACAATGGATGTGCGACAACGTTGCAGGCCATTGTACCAAAACAAAATCCAAATTGTGGAGTAACAAACTAGCAATTACCAAATGAGATGATGAGTCCAAATCATTGGAACAAGAAAATTTATCCAATAAATAATTCAGCTCACGAGATTTGTAATATATATATATATATATATATTCAATTAAATTGAAATATATATATATATATATATATGTATATATATATATATATGTATATATATATATATATATATATATATGTATGTGTATGGTCTCATTTTGAGTACACTTAGTTTCATATTTAGGAGCCAACATGTGCTTCCGAATCAGCAGGGAACTCACCAAAGAAGAGTTAAAGGAGAGAGAAAAAAGAAACAAAACAAAACTCAAGGAAAAGGAGAGAAAAGAAGAGGAGAAAAAGGTGAAAGAGGAAGAAAGAAGAAAGATTGAGGAGAAGCTGATAAAGAAAAAAGAGCAAGAGATGGAGAAGAAGAAACGAGCAAAAGAGGAGATGATAAGAAAACAAGAAAAAGAAAGAAAGAGGAGTGAAGAGTTGAAAAGAAAAGAAAAGGAAAAGGAAAAGAAACTGAAGCAAAGGAGAAAATAATGAATTTCATTTTTTTTTCTCTGGTGACTTCTTCATGGGTCGAACTTAATATTTATGTCTATGTAGATGATTTGAAGCTATACTTAAGTAATGTTGGGTTATTTTATCATCAGTTCAAAAGTTACAAGGTTAAATTATCATCTTGAGCATTAAAAGCTTTTGGAAAATAATACTGTTCAGAACAATTTGGCCGGTTGGTAACAATCTTGATTTTTTTTTTGTGAAATTGCAACAATTAGCTTGTTTTCCCATGAATGAAATTTAATTTCAATATTGAAACAAGGTTGTTTTGTTGTAACATTTATTTTAGGCATATGCTATTTATATAGCATAGCATTTGCTATAATTGTATCAAATTTATATAGTAGTACTCTTGGTCCTTTTTGATATATAATTTTCTTTTAGTTTATTGTTGAATGTGATCCAATCTAAGCATTAGACATTAGTGCTTGTAAATTTCTAGTATAGCATATTAATGGAAAGGCAAAGTTATAAGTATAGAAAATTAAGAAGAGACTTGATATAAAATGTCTTTTGACATCATCATCACATCGAAATTTTAATATCAATTTATCTATAGTTATTTTTCCCGTATGATTATTTTTTATTTCAACTCATATAAAAAAATAAAATAAAATAAAAGTGGGTTGTTTCATATTATAAAATATTCTACCAACAAGTTATTAGTCCAAATAATACTAAATTCAATTCACTTAAATAAGGTTTTGAGTTCAAATCTTGTATAGGAAAAAAAAAATCTCATGATTGAAAGGAAAGACTTTATTAAAGGTGATTAATCAAGTTTTTTAATGAAAATTAGTCATTGATAAAATCAGTAGATATTTCATAATATTAATATGATTAAAAAAATATTATAAATCATTCTATAAAATTTTTCTCCTTATATTTTTTAAAATATTTAAATATCTCTAAGGCTA